TTTCCTCCTCTGCTTTCTTCTCTGCTCGGATCTTTTCCTCTGCTGCCATCTTTTCCTCTTCTGCCTTCTTCTCTGCTTGGATCTTTTCCTCTGCTGCCTTCTTCTCGGCTTTGAGTTTTTCCTCTGATTTCTCTTTCTCTTGTGCTTCAGGCTCTTCGTCTATCTCTGGGTCTGATTCACAGTCTGTTTCTTCCTCTTCTTCTTCTATCAGAACTTCTTCGTCGGTTGTGTTGTCCTCTTTTTTCTGTTCAACCTTCTGACTTTCATCCTTTTTCTCACTTTGTTCATCCTTCTTCTCACTTTCCTTCTCTTTGCCCTGTTTGGTCTCTGGTGGGAACATTAATGATCAGGTGTTTTAAGTCTAATTCTAGCTATGATCAGGTGTTTCAAGTCCAATTCTAGCTATGTGCACTCAAGCAGTACCCCGGCCCCTTAGCTCCTTAGGAGAGGCACGGACAAAGTTCCTGATAGACCTGGTGCGCTTTTTCACCCCAGCCTCCTGGCATGTTCGAACATTTTCAACCCTATAGAACAATCAACGCACATACATGTGCACATACGTAAGCGGCGCATGGCACTCCTCATAGACCATGGAAAGCAAACGCTTTAGCTTTGCCAAGTTGCTATCTTTCCTCCTGGAGCCACGGATCAAATCTTTTGGGAAGAACGTGGGCTAAAAGGTGCCTTTGCCTTTTTTCAAGAATAAGCATCGATGGGCCTAGTACCAGATGTGCGTCCATATGCTGCGCAAATCCTACTGGCCAGCATGCGATGAAGATTGCCTTCGGTGGTGGCCCATTCCTTATACAAAAACCATTCAACTATGCACAACCTTCAAAAAAAGGTACAGTGGACATCAGCAGACAAGAAACACCTAGATCAGGAGTGACCTTTTCATCCACGAGTTTGAATGTGGAAGCCGCCCATAGCAATGCTTCCTGCAACGGTGCTTTGCTGTAGCGAACTATGCCGACCAACACATCACATGGAAGTGGATGGTGATGGCACCCCCTAGTTCTAGAGTGAAAAACATGTATTCCTTTCGGGGCCAACATCAAAAACACACCTGCCAATCGAATCTTTGTTTTGTCAACTACACGGATTTGGGAGGAATCCAAATATCCCAAACCTCTAAGGATTAAGAAAGAATCGAAAAGCTCAGATCGATTTGCGCCAGGCCTTCACCTCACACTCTGTGGGAGGGTCCAGAGCAAAGCTGGGAAGCCAAAGCATCGCGAAACGCGTGTTGGCTGTAGTCTCCATCTGGCACTGGACACAATTGAGGCACACAATTTCACAATATGCCTGTGAGTAACGCCTCAAACAGATCTCAAACCGGCCAGGCAAACCGTGTCTTCATTCATTCCACTCTTGCCAATATCTAGGAACTTGAACTCGAATGGAGGTGCCTGGCAAAATCTAGGGAAACATACCCAACCAGTACAACTATTCCAGCAAGTCCCAATCAAGACCAAGTAATGAAGCTGGCTGAGCAGACCTTCTCGTTCCGAAGTGCCCTTTCGACCTTTTGGAGAGGTATGCCAGCTTTCCTGGATAGCTCCTCCATCCTCACATGTTTGTGCTCCTGCAGGTACTCGGAATAGAAATCCTGAATGCTAGGGCAAGAAGGGATGGCCCAGGGACGGGGAACAACCAGAATATTCAATCACACACTGCAAGCGGTATGCATGTATGCTGTTCACCCTGACTTCCCAAATGCCTTCAACATCTCCACGCGTTTGGCATCAGGCTTTGTGGTGGGCATGGCGCAGGCGTGCTCTGTGAGAGCAAGGGCCGATCCAGACCCGATCCCAACCCGACTTGTGCTGGAAAAATGTTTCAGAGCTCTCAGCACTTGCCAATTCAAGAGGTGTGGGGAAGAGGTGTGGGGTCGGACCTTTTTGGAGTCGTGGTGAATCCTATCATGTGGGTTTGTTGATGTCAGAATGGCCCAAAGAGGTCCAACACCAAGCCCTGCAAATCTGAAGTACATATCGGATGATGGGAAGGGCAGGCACCTCTCTAGGGTTCTTCCAATTCCCAATGAAAATGGTTTTGGCCTTTGAGCAGCCGATTGCAACTGGATGCCCTGCCCCCACCATCATCCACGCTTGTGAATCTGAAAGACGGATGCGAACCTGGACGTTCACTGGCAAGCCCTCAGAAAAGCAGAGAAGGACCGTGGGGAGTTGTGGAGATCTCTGAGGATCAGGCGCTTTCTCAGGGCCCTTTTCATCGCCCCATCTTTGAGCCCATGAAAGGCTCTGGGGCTCAAGAATCACAAATACGATGTTTAGCTAGCTAAACATAGCACTCGACAAATACGAAGTTAAACTTCAACGTTGAAGGCTAGGGTATATATATGTTATAGGTTGAATTATTTTACGGAAGCGACCGTCATCAAGAGTTGAGCAGGATTGTCATGGTTGGTAAACAATATATGTCAATATGTCCCACAATTGTTTTGTTCAGGTTCTCAGTGCTAGTATTGAATCCAATCTGATTTCCCCTTCTCTCAGGTTCTGATGGTTTTTAACTGCTTGAAACTATCATGGGAACCATGGTCTGAACGAATGGGGACCATGATCTGAACCATGTTCACTATGGTCTAGTCTATGGTCTACGCAGACTGTCCATTGCCTTGACACGCTGCAACATTGAACATGGAGCCGCCCTTGATGTGTTCAATGTTCGAGCGCTGCCTGATAGGACAAGTGATGACCGAGCAACAAAACTCAAAGTTGACGCTTGGCAAAATGAAACTGAGGGTTCTTTGTTTTGTTGCAGTTTTGAACAGAATCTGATCTATTTTGCTGCATGTGTCTTTATCGAACAAACTTTCTGACCATGAACAAAATCTTGTGCCACGTTTCACTCCAAGGAAAATTGCATATATCATATTTGTAAGAATCCTTGACCCCTTCACAGGACGGGTCGGATCCTCCGCAGGGGTCCGGACCCTACATTCATTGATATTCATTGCATGAAAACCCTCCCTAGGGCTCCAACTACCTCCGTTTCGAAGATGGTTGGGGTGGGTGCCAGGGGGGCCTAACCACCTTCTGAGGATATGGTTGGAACCCGCTCCATTCATCTTACTTCGACCTCCACATGAATAAATATGTTCAACCTTGGAAAAGTTCTATAGCTTATAGAAGTTACCACCCTCCTGTTGTCAAAGTTTTACAACTGCAGCTGTGGAACTTGAATGCACTTGATAGGCCGTTATAGAAGCTATGCAATCCTGCTCGTTCCATGTCCTGATTGTTGTTGTTCTTTTACTGACCGTGACGGAGGGCTCATTCCCATGCCCCCCCGGAACACGCGCACCTCCACCGGGGCGCCCCAAAAGGTACGAATCGCTGGATTTGATGGGAACCTTTGCCGACAATCACGACGAGCCGCTTGCTTTTGCTACTCCGAGGCGGACGTTTATCACGTCGTTTTCGCCGTGCCGCGCAGTACGTCGGGAGTGGCGGAGCCGCGGAGTACGTCGTTTTTTTCTTTCACACAGGTGTTAGGTTTGTGGGGGACCGTAGGAAGAGAGCGAAACCAACGGAGTGAGTGGACGGACACAGACGCTCCATATAGGCCGAAAGATTTAACTAGTTATATTCGGGTCTATTGGATGGTGTAAATCGATCAGTCCGGATGGTCTGGGAGAGTGGGCCACAGACAGCTTTCCCCGCCTTGGGGACGGTGAGACCCTCAAGGGCCCGAATTCCTAGGGTCAACCAGTTGCACTTAGAATGGGTTTTGGGTGTCATGAACATGTCCATGATGACATTGTACTTATGTTTTTGTTTTTCAAGACCTGCGGCAGCGTTGTGTTTGTGCATGACTCACTCAGTAAAGAGTATGTTATTAATACCATTGGTTTCGGTTTTACACACTGTGTTGAGAATATGTCACAGCAGGCAGGTCTATAGACGTCAGATCGTCGTCAATGTCAGTGTTTTCCTCACAGACTTTACTTACTTTCCCAGGCACTGCACGTATGGAGGAAATACTGCGCCCACATCGACCCCATGAAAGCCAGAACAATTGGCACTCCCTCGCTCGGCTAACGAAGATCACTGTCGGACTGAACCCGTCCGTGTCAGACTTAGATCGCAGACTGAACCCTAGGAATGCTCGCATCAACTACTACTGCAAGGACCGGAACCACGACCGTCCGACCGACGTGGTGAGGGGACCATGTTGCCTTATGTGTTTAGGTGGGATTCGGTGAGGGAAGTTGTAGAGAGTCATCGTGTCCAGGTTTACATCACAAAACAACAACAAATTGGAAGTATACCTTCTATACATGTCTAAACCAAAGTATTTTTACATGTTGTGTCAGCCTCAAAGTAGATGGAATTTGACACATCTCATATATACCGTGTTCCAGATGTATTTATATCTCCCTTGGCTGCGTTACAACTGCTGGTCTAGCTGGTAGCCGAGATATGGTCACAGGCAAAACCGAGACTCGTAGGTTGATCATGATCCGTGGCCGGGCATGAAACTGGGATTGATCAATCCTCAAGACAAGAATCAATATCTCAAAAGTTGAGGTTTCCTATCCAGGTTTCATATGTTTAGGGGATATGTTTCCACAAGCAATCACTATAATAACTTATAGGTATGTTCTACCTTCACTATCCAGTGGAATTTTGATCGGGAAAGAGTGTCTAATGCAGTCATAGTCTGCAGAGTGGTGCTTGATTAAAAAGAAACGATGCAAACCAGTCTCGCCATGAGAAAGAAACCGTGCTCTCAGTCTCCGTTCACCCGCGCACGAACGAATACCGCCTGCCTTTTGCTGGGCCGCAGACCTTCTTTGCGACTCGAGGCAGATCAGGTGAGGATCAAGAACACGTTGGTTTGGGTCCTCTTCTCCCAAGGACCCACGGTGTGTGTGTGCAACCTGTGCGGGCTTCACGATATACCCACGTTCCGGGGCGGGGCGGACCGTTGGTAGGGCCTAGGGAAGCGGTGAGTGTTTTGTTTTTCTTTTGGGGGGGTGTAGGAACAGTCAAGGCAACTTCTCAAGATTCTTGGCGTTTTTAACTCTGTTAAACTTGAGAGTCTCCTTTTGCCCCACTGTCGTATACTGTCGTGCCCCACGTGCTGGACAAAGCAACGATGTTTCATCTTGTTGGAGCCCCAGCCTGGCTGTGCCCTCTTGGGCAGTGCCTGCAGGCCCGCAAGAACCAGCTGTGAAGCCCATGGGCACTTTGATCATACGAAGTCAGACCCCAATTCTGCTCCAAATCGTACCTCCTCCACCCCAGTCCAAACGAAACGAAGGTACGAACTTGGAGCTCAAACGGGAGAATGTGTCATTCGTACTTCATTTCGTTGGAGACCTTCACCTGGCAGTCCACTACCCAGACACTCCAGTCACTGCAGTCAGGTGTGGCCAGACATGGTGACCCCTTTTCCACCGCCATCCACCGCCCAAATTGATCCAAAGTGTACATACGTCATTGAGACTCAGGGACATTATGGGACATTGGACCTTTTGCACAACTTGTTATTTGAATCCTACAGACTTGAGTCTCAATCCTTCTCCTCTGCGTTCGGAAAGAATCATCCCACAAAACCACGTGGCATCCATCCCGCAACACTGCTCACCCATCCCTCATGTACTGCAGGAATCCCGATCATTTACTATGGCACGGAGCAGGGTCTCAATGGGCATCAACCCAAGGAGCGAGCCTGAAACGCCTCACACGCTCTCTCGCGGCGCGTCTGGCGACCGATTGTCAGAGCCTGACCAGCAAGCGCCGTAAAGCGCCGTGCCGAAGTGATGCCGGTGACCTACTGAGACTATAGCGTAGACTGACACTGTCTCGTTTTTTTGGGGGGTGATGGAGGTGCTATAGGTAAATGATAATGTTGATATGAAGATCTAATTGTCCATTAAACAACAACAACAACAACAACAACAACAACAACAACAACAACAACAACATCATATCATATGTTCTTCTATGCGATACTGTTGAACAAGTGAAAACATGCAACGCAGCAGCAATGTCTTGCCCAGCTACCTCACCTGGTGAGACATGCTAGCTGCTAATGGTCCTCACACGCCAGGACAACACCAGTATCGGCCAGGATGAGATGCGAGAAACTGGGTGGCGAAGTTCGCCAACGACGCCGGAACGGTTGGAGTCCAGGTCAATGAGTCAATGACCTCAGAAATACTGAAGTTTGTCATAAACACTACCTGGAGTCTCGAAGTACCTGGGAAAGTGGGTCCAAGATGGTATAAGCATATGTTTTGATGGGGTGCTGTCTCGAAGTACCTGGGAAAATTATGGAACATGGGTACAAGATGGTACAAATACCTGTTTTGATAGGGTCATTTCCCAAGTTCGATCCAGGTACTTGAAGTTGGATCCAGGTACTCAGTTTGAGGCGTACTCAATGGTTTTAGGCTTTCGGGTTTTACTGGGTATATACCCTGGACTTGTAGGGTATATATGTAGCTGTCTCGTACAGAGGGTATGCCTGGAATTTGGCAAACGTCAACAGCTTTGAGCCCGTCAGTTCTGCCGGGATTTCGTGAGCCCAGACGCTCCTGGACCTGGTTTTCTACTGGCGGGGTCGGACCTGAATCCGGACTGGAGGGGTCTGGGGTTTCTCACCAATCTGCAGGTTTAACGGAGCATCTGGGAGATTGCTTTCAGGATGTATTCGATTGTTGTGCACCAAGCCCTTTTCACTGCCCTAAAGGGCTCCTGGCCTACCTCCGATTCGGTTCGGTGGTTGGGATGGGTGCCAGGAGGGCCTGTGCCCACCGGTCACCTCAAAAAAAAATCGTTGGAGCCCTAGGGCCCGGACATCACTTGCCCGGACGTGCTTCAGTTTCACCAGTTTCACCAGTTTCATCGTTAGAGCACGGCCCTTCCGAGAACACCCACCTGCCCGGCTGAAGTCCAGTTCGACTATATTTTGACCGGCTGAAGTGTTCAGGAAGTTCCCGAAATCAGGTCCCCTAGTCAGACCATTCTTTTTATAGTCTTTGACTCCCAGGGCCTGGATTTCGTAGATTTCCGTGACGTGGCCCGAAGAGGTGATCAGCTTTTTGTTGAGCTGGCTGCCACGGTGGCGTGTTTAGGTCACCGGTCCCTGTTGTTGGGTTGGGTGGCTGAAGAGGTGGGTGACCAGTCGGGTTCAGAAAAACAAAATATATGTGACTTACCCTACCAGTCCAGTCTGACCCACTGAAACCTGGTCGGTTATCTCCTTAAGTAGTGTTTCTTTGTATGACCGACTCCAGTAAAATGAACTCATTGACTTGTAGGGAATAAACTGAAGTGACACCGCAGTGACAGGATGAATCAAGTAATCAGCCTGAGGAAGAAACAATGGATTTGATCTGATCCTGCGAAAATCTTTCTGACATCGGAGGGACCGACCTCTTTGGTGGTTGAGGCATAGTCCGAGGCGAAACCCTGTCTTTGGAAAGACCCTGGCGATGTCATTGTCACCAGGTGAAAAAGAAGCTCCTGATCTTTGCTATAGGGTCAAAACAAAACGGTCCATCCCCCTCCGCCAGAGGCAAACCGTGACCTGATGTGCCGTCCAGGACCTGTGCGCCAGCCGCGTCTCGTGAATTCCACTGAGGAATCCATTTGGCAAAGTCATTACAACACGGAGACCTGGCAGTCGCCTGACAGCACCGCGTGCAGAGCTTTCGGCGAAAGGACGAGTGGCGTGGTCGTCTTAACTGGGCTGACTTGTTTCCAATGAACATGAGTCATGCATGTAGTACTCTTGATTAACTACCTCTTGATATCTCTTGATATATACTCTTGATATCATTTGAATTGGACATCCTCTTCATCTGGGTTTCTTATGGTTTATTAATCAAGAGTCTACAGTACCGGGACACTACCTCGTCCCCTGATGGGACTAGCTGTGTCCCATTGGTGTCCAATGGTGATCCGAGGAGGTTAATAGATGTAATTTAGTTTTTCAAGTCTTGCTGGATCCCTTTCATGTATATTGTTCATTATACTGGCGCACCTGACATTCAAACTCAACGGGGCTTTGCGGGCGATCTGCTGCTGTATCAGTATGTATTCAGTAGATCACCCTCTTAAAGAAAGAAACACTGTCTGGTCGACCAGTGAGCAGTGTGGATGCTTCTGACCTGGCAATCCAGCTGTGGAAAAACCGCGCTCGGTTGCGCGCGGTTGTTCCGAAAGAAATGGTTCTCCATCTTTCCGAACTGCACATTGGGGGACTTCAACACAGCCGCCCATGACCGCCCGCGTACGTAACGTGCGTGCAAAAGAAAACAACACACAACTGTCGACGCTCCTGAGGTACAACTACATCAAGACGCTGCTGTCGACGCGCAAGGTCAATAGCATCGGCGCAGGATACTCCGAGGCCGCCGAAGCGCGGTCTGGCGGTCGTAGCTACGCCGTTCGGCGACCGTCGGCGCTATTGGATAGGTCCAAAGATTCCTTGCTCGGCCGAGCAGAGAAAATGAAGGGAGAGCTGCTCTGAAAACATGTGTTACATATTTTGCATGTCCCCAAAAAAGGCATCTATGCAGCCATGCAGGTGCGGCAAAAAATGACCTCAACAACGGCAACCTCGACAGCGGTTTCCGTGTTTCACCCGCCGATCACCTCACTGGTCACTTTCTCCGCGAGGTGAAAAGCTTTGATCAGCACCACTTAGTCTTCACCCGCTCCTGCGATGGTGGCTTGCGAGAAGCCTGGGCCGCTGGGCGAGGACCGAGTTTCATATTTTGACCGACTGAAGTAAAGGAAATTCCTTTTCAGGTCACCTAAAGACTATTCTTTTTATAGTCTTTGACTCCCAGAGAATAGACATGGTTCCAAAGTACGGTATTAAATGTATGAGAACAAGACGAGCCGAACTGAATTCGTTGTTGGCCAAGCAATGAACATGCAGGAAGTTATATAATATTTTGGTTTGTCTTTTCTAATTACTGAGAACTGGTACCAGCACTCTTTATAATGGATCAAAAAAGATAGTGGTCTATTGACCTTCAGAATCCAGAGCTCTCTTTTTCTCGTCCTGCAAGCGCTTCATGCGGTGCCAAGACTGTGCCTCTAAGGTCTTCCTGAACAACGCAGGTGATGGACGACGGCATAGCCGTATTCGCCGCACGGCGAAGACAGGTGAAGAAACGTGTTTTTGGGTGTGGTGATATCGATGGAGACCGCATAGTGGTCCCAAATAGATCGAACAGTAGATCCCCACTCAAATGTGCAAGGAAACCGCTTCGTTGTGTTTAAGGATCACTATATACATGTCATCATGGATACCAGCTTCACTTTGTGTCCTCTTTCTGTCGTCGTCCCATGCAGAGACCGAAGCTACCAACCTGCCTATGAGAAGTGACCGGAGCAACCAGGACTTCTCAGCTAGCTGGTTCGGTCCATTTCACCCTGGCTGTGAGAGTCAAAACCCTAGCTATGAAAGTCCTATGAGCCTTTGGGTATATGAAATATTTCTTAGCCTAACACGGTGTTAGAGGAACGGCCCATTCGGGCTTCTTACGGCCCGGGGTTTCGGGGGGTCATACCCAGACAATCCCAGACAGGACCCAACCGTTCAATCCACCACCACAACTACAACTACCCGGGTCTTCCAACGCCAAAACATGTTTGTTAGCATAGTTTGCCCCCCCACCCTGTGGTTGGAAGGCCCGGCGGAAAAACCACATGATGCATGCATGCCCCATGCATGCCGGGCGAAGCGGACGACCCCCGTCGATGCGGACGACCTCCGACCGACCGCCCAGGCTATTGCCCAGGCCCTCTCCCTGGCATCAATGGTCAGGCTCAGTTATGCCGCGCAGTGTTGGAGAAGTACTCTTACCCAGTGGATAGACTCCTACTGTACCCTTTTTAGGGGGAGTGGTTTCCCATGGTTGCCCCACTAAACAAGAAAAAGGTCAAGCTGTTCTTCAGAAACTCAAGGAGTCAGTACTTGATTGGTCCCATGATGTCCAATTTTGTTTAATTCACCTGTCGTCTTCCATGCGCGTCCGAACAGTGGTTTTCAGACCGGCTCAGTGCCGAAGTGAGTTTGCATGAATTGTGCCAATGGCCATGTCTGATCTTCCAAGAGAGGTTGAGAGACCTTATAGCACCCTGTAGTGGTACATATGGGATGGGCTATATTTATGCTGTTCAACCTCTCTTGGTTCTTCATGCCATACCCCCAAGGAACGCGTTGAACCAAAACGCCTCTGAAACCCGAGCGATACGTCCTCTGCCCGAGCTGTCCCAATGAGGCGTGGTATGATGCCATCTCCGGGAGGCGGATGGACCAACACCTGTCTGAGGTGTGCGGGCCAACCGGGTCGGGGGGGCGGAAGGGGCCAGGGGCCAGGCGGAAGCTCGTGTGGCCGAGCATGGCGGGTGTACTCGTAGCTGGCGTGTCAGATGATCCATGGGATTGGAAGAGTTTAAGCAAATGAAAACGAAAACAAAACGAAGGAATCCAAATGACCCATCCGTGTCGGTAACTCTTCCAGTCCCAGACAGGTGTTTGGGAAGAGGGGTTTGGAGACCGATGTCCGGAACGGAAGACTGTGGTTTTTTTGGTGCCTGAAAAGAAGGTGTGAAAAGGTGCCTAGGCCTTGGACGACCAGCCTCGGACGGCATCCAGAAAACCTCAAGGACCTCCATGTGGCCAACGGGCCGTGTGGCCATTGGTTCATCGGTGCACCAGTCGGTCCCTTGTTTCAGCGTTCGTCAAGTCAGCTCCACAAAGGTTTGGTGCATCTGAAGGTCCGCGTTCTCTTCAACATGTTCAACCTCCACCTCCCTAGGAATCCCAGTACATCCTCAAAAGGTACTTGGACCCTCCAAACCCACCCCAAGCACCTTCTCAGAGGGTGCTTGGATCCTTAGGGACTGTATTGTCACGTATCTTATATATGATCTGATATATGCTTTCTACTGGGGGTCCTTACTACCTGCGTTTGCGGGTTTGGGAGGTCTATAAACATACAAGTCAAGACTCCCATCGACTCCATGTTTGCATCATTTAGAGACGGGAAGCCTTGCCGGAAGCGTTGGCAGCGTTCTTCAATCCGGTTGAAATAGGACGTGTTGGACTCCCGTTTGAATCAGGATCTTTTCCATGCGGAACCCGCGGCAACCGCAGCGGACGGTCAGCCAGGGCTGCTTCACTGCTCCAGATGCTGAGCCCAAAGTGCTGGTCCTGCGCATGGACGAGATCATAGTGAGTTAGGTTCGCAAGGCTGAGCAAGCCAGACCTCAGAACTGCAGAACATCCTACCCGGACCGAGACTCCAAAAGAGGGAGCCGGACCGAGAGTGACTGAAGGTCCTGGAGGATAGATTGATATAGATAATATAGATTGGATATGAAATGTCCATCTAGGATCCATACAGGGGAGTGCAAGAAATTCTTGACGCATTGGGCACGAGCCAGCTGCAGTTGGGTACAAAGTACGGCGGTTTGGATATTTCATTTGAATGACAGTGGTGCGGCCTAGAACCTCCAGCATTTCCCACAGAAAATGGAACAGAGTTCCCTATACAGAGAAATTGACGGATTGGGCTTCATTTTCAGAAGTTGCCAACCTTCAGGGGTGGGACGTGAAATCCAAGACCCTAGGAATGCATGAAGATGCTAGACTCTTTGTATCTCGATACACTCCAAAGAAGGAACAATCACAGACTGAAAGTCTCTTAGTATCCTGCATCATCCAACTGTATTCCTTCACTTGTTGCATTACACAAGTTTTTGATTTGCTGGGTGGCCATAACTGGCTTCCTTGCCCGAGCCTTGCTTGCTTCTCTTCGCTTGCCCGCGCCGAAAATTCATGGCTTCGTGGGTTTGCGGATTTGGAGTTGGGGTGTGTGTGGCTCGGGGCAATTTTCCTGCAGAAGTTGGTGTATCAGTGTATCCGGATGTTCGTGTGTTACAGGTGTCAATAACATGATCTAGTCCAAAATATGGTGTAAATATCTTATCAGCTCAAGACCAGGTCCAGTCCCTCGACAACGGGACGAGTTCCACCGCTGTTATGTGGATCGTTGGCTGTTGCAGTGGGACGCTGGATCGTTAGGTGGTTTGATGGTCGGACGTTGCAGATCCCCATACCCTGTCGACGATCCATGATGGCAAGTAGGACGGATCCATTCACGACTCCAAAACACCCAAACTCGTCCATCTTTGCAGCTTCCAACTCCCTCCTTGACCTTAGCATTGCTGAATTCCAAGTCCCTCCACACACTCCAAGTCCGGCGTTCAGGGCCTTACAGCGGTTGCTCTTTTGCTGGCGCGGCAGAAGATTTTGTCGCGGCCAAAGCGCCCCGCAAATGCGCGGCCTGCGCCGCCGCAAGACTCGCAATAAAAAGAACATGCGTGTTTTTAATATATGTTTTTTGGGTTTCGGAAGAAAGTGTTTCTGGGTGTTTTTTTTCTAGGTGTGTTTATGTTTAACCTTACTTCGGATGGTTCTTCACCCACTGACTTCTATTTGTTGTTTTGTCTTCATTGAAACCACTAAGAGGGTGTGTTATTTGTGGCCGTGTTTTTGGGTGGTTGTGCTACCGACTCCCTCGGCTGTTGGGATGAGTCTGTTGTGCTACCGTCCACTGGCGCGGCGGGGCTGCCGGGCTGCGAGGGAGCATCAGTGCTCTGCAGAAGACCGGTATGGCGGCTCTACGAGCACAGACGAACACATCACGAGCATCAGTGGAAGGCACCTCCTCTGTTTGAAAAGAACTCCCTTTCTTCTTCCAAGTCGGGGACATGTTCTACTTCCACCACGTGATGTGTTCGTTAGAGTGTAGTTCTTGATTCTTTGGAGCCAACCGGTGGATTCCACTAGTGATCATTCCTTCACAGTGCTCGCTGGGTCCATATCGCCAAACACAACGGGATCTCAACACCTTGGGGATTTGAGACCCCCTGACTTTCATCCCCGGACATCGTCGGTCGGCTTGGTCCTTTCCATTCGAAAGGACGACGTGGCCCCCTTCGCGACCGACCGTGTGTTTGGCTCGTACCCGTTTGCGATGTTCCCAAGCGTCCTTGTGATCCACCAAACCAGCCATCTACCAGGACCTTCCAACAGGTGTTTTTTGGCAACCTCTTAACCTCTAAGACTCTAAGAGGCTATTTATAGACACCTCTTGGAAGGTCCTGGTATAGTTCACATGAGATGAAGAGTTTCTCAAGGAACCATGGCAGGGGTTTCCAGGATGAGAAAGGATAGGTATCGCTACCCACAGGTGGCACATCATTCCTAAAAAGAGTCTCTTGACCAGTCCCAATCATCCGTGGCCGTCCTTGGCTGGAGGTGTTTGGCACTTTATAGCTCTGGAACTGCCGAAGAGGTGCGTGGGCGGAAGGAGAAAGTCAGAGACTGGCGTGAATGTTTGGTGGATTGAGAGTAGATGGCACAAACCCCAATGTCGGTGGTGCAATTGCGGACCCTTCATCTAAAGGACATCAAAGATGGGCTGCCAGTGCCATCTACTAGACAGACGAATTTTCACCTTTGACTTTGACATGTAATTACTGCAACGTGTAGGTTTAGGTCAATCTCTGAAAGAGTTCTTATAACCAATTTTATATCTAGAGTATTGGAATACTGTAGTAAGTATAGTAAGTCAACGTTTGTGAAAGTTCAGGGTGAACAAAAAGGTTTCCAACCTTCAGCTTCCAATGATCCCAGAATAAGTTTCAACTTCTCATCTTTGGACAGTGGACCCTTGGTCGGGCAGGACGAGGAAACCGGAGGTTTTGGAGCCATCGGAGTCATCGGAGGGTGTTTTTGTTTGGATCAGTTGGCGTGGTTCAACGAACTGGGTATTTGGAGGTCCCGTGATTTGGGACATATGGTGAGTCGAAATCTCTTCCACCAAACAATGGTTTTTGTTGACGTAAATAGCATGCCATACGGCCATGTGGCTGTGAGGAATGAACAGATTCCAGAAAGCCATATGGCCATGTTGACCCCGTGGCCAGGCTGTGAATCTGTTCATTTTGACCGCTCGGGTGCAGTGATCGTCGACCGGGCAGGGGTCGACCGACGCGAATGGATCGGAAGGTGAGCATACGTCCCGCCGAAAAGGCGTGTGACAAAAAAGAACAGACCCAGACAGATCCTTTTGGTTTCAAAGGGATTTCTGACATCACCCACTAGAGTCACTAGAGTACTATATAGAGGTTTACCCCCGGCAGACCCTGACCTACCAGCTGGACAGCTAACAGTTGACGATGTCGACGTCTTGAAGAGCTCCGGAGGCTGTAAAGCATTGGCCATTCTTCTTAGAGCTCATGAAGAGCACTGACGTGGGCGAGGAGACCTGGACTCGACGCGCAGCCGTTCGGATGTCCTGGACCTACCGGATGGGGGGTTTGTCCCGCAGGTGGGCATCAACCGGGTGCCAGTGCACGTTTAAAGCCAGGGCTGCGAAAGCCAGATCACCAGGCGACCGGCACGAAGATCACCTGATGGGACTCAATCAACGACCGTCTACGACCTGCTCCGTGAGCCTTGAGATGATCTGTTTTTGTTGTGTTGCCAGGGGTGTCCTACACATCAGTAGGGTTGTAGTTTAGAATATTAGGCCTCAATCAAATGTGAAGAAAAGGTGACGTGAGCACAGCATATCCCAAAGCAAGTGACTAACATCCCTGCTCGGCAGTCAGCCGCCTTAGCTGTTCGGTCATGGGACGATGTTCGCCTGTTCGCACCATTTCGTGGCGCGGCAAGTACCGGCTGGAGAGACTCATGTTGTATTGACATGTGTTTGACCATTGTTTCTCATTGGTGGCCTATAGAATCAAGATTGGAAAGTCTTTTGAAGGCCACATGAAACCGGCAGTGCATGCGTCAAAAGGATGAACTGTTGGGTCACGATGATTTCTTGTTTGGGACATATCTAAATTGACTTGCTCTATTGGGGGAACACCAGTTTCGGTTGCCCTGCCAGAGAGGCCCTTGACCCCAAATGGGGAAGTTGACTATGCCATTGGGGAAACCAGATGTCCAATCAGACGAACCCCCTGCCCACCACTTTCAGACACGAGCTGTTTGGGACTGCCAGTCCGGACTGGCTGTCGATCCGATGGAATCCCACCCCGGGCTGAACCATCCGTGGGCGGAAGATGCGGTGCCGATCGAAGGACGTGGGTTCTTTCCCGATCCAGAGTCCTCCCAAGTCACTAGTGCTATTACTGCTTTTGTGGGGGTCCATTTGGGTGTGTATTTTTTGTTTGGGAGACCACATGAGACCGCCCAGTTCAACCTCTTGGAAGAAGGAAACTAGACCCAGTCTACCCATTGATTGGGCCTCCCCATTTGGCTACATCTCTAGACCGTATGAGCGAACCGTTTGGAGCCCTGAAGTTGAAAGACGAGCCCAGATGGAGTCGCGAAAGTTGAAGTTAGCCCGTTCCTTTTTAAGGACCCCACTTTGGGTCTTAATGTAGATCCTACACAGCTTGTGGGGGAAACACATTATCTTTGATAGGTGGAGGGCTGACATCAGGCTCCTTTGCTTCACGATCGAAATCCCAGACAACGACATAGCAGATGATGGTTTTTGCTTGAAAGCTTTGGAAAGTGGAGAGGGACCAGAAACGGATTTCCTCAGAGAAGAATGGGACTCTGTGTTTCAATCTCCGCACATGTAACATCTTGCTCCAGGATCTCATTGAGATTTGCGCTCTTTTCATCTTGGACGTCCTTCTTCTACGCGGCCGGATGGAGTTGGGGAAGACTCACGGAGGGCCAAAACCGAGATCTTTGTATCTTCTTCACCCCACGTGCTGCCTGTTTGGACCGGTGAATGCGGAAGCCTGCGACCTCACAGCTGTCACCGGATGACCCCACAAAACGTACCGAGGTAGGTACAGTGGACATGACCCGAACAAAAGACAGGTACAGTGGATCTGTGCCATTTTCCGAGGTAGGTACTGAGACTCCAGGTCCCTACAATTTGGATCATTGATGCACAACACTGCAAAAAAGACTGTCCAAACCGTTTGTGCTAGATTGGCATGTTTTTGTTCTTCCACGTGCTGCCTGTTTCAACCGGGCGGAGACGGTTTTCACATGTTTTCACCGCTCACAGACTCGTTCTTCTTTGGAGTACAAAGTTCAGTTAATTGATCTCTCCACATTTGGTTGACTCCAGCAATAGCTGGACTCTATGTTTAAGCTTCGTATTGGGCCCAGATGAGTTCTTGATCTCTTTCACTGGTGCCGAGAAAGAGTTTGTCTGGTCGCTTTTTGTCGCACCC